TATTTTCCCCAGGTTTTGGTGACAACTACAGTGGAGCTACATGCGCTAGTTTCACCTTTTGCTTTTTCTAAAAAAATTAAGACAAATCTATACAATCTGCCTCTCTAGCCTGTATTAAACAGATTATATATTAAGGACTTTGCAAGAGACAGATGAAGCTGATCTTACGTTGGGGGGACGGATGGCTGCTTATTAGCTGATGGCATTCTCAAGATGGGAGGTCTTCTCTTCTTGGGCCCTTGAGAGAGAAAAGAAAATACACAATACTTTTTTTAAAGGTGCATGAGGAAGATATGGAAAACATACATGGAAAACATACTGGGATTAGACTGTACAGGCCATTTTTTCAAATTTCTACTCCATCATAACCACAACTAGCCTACAGTTGCTACCTCACAGGGTTGTTGTGATGACAAAACGGGAATGGAGAAGAAGAACAGCAGAGACTGCCTTGTGGTCTTTGGATGACAGATGGATAAAAACATTCCTAAAATGTAATGAATCTACAGCACAGCCTATACAGGGTGAGTCTCCTTTCTCTGAAATGCTTGGGCCCCCATCTGTTTTGGATTTCGAAGTTTTTCAGATTTTGGAATATCTGCATCTTGGAGATGGGACCCAAGTCTAAACATGAAATTCAGAACGCAGGTCTTCCAAGTTCCTGATCACCAGGCTACCTATGGCACTACATTCTCTCTCTCTCTAGGAGCATCTCCCAAAGTTGGAGGACTTGGAAGAGACAGGGGAGAAGAAGAAGAAAGGTAGAAAGAAGATGGAGCATTAAGGGGAAAAAGGGGGAGAAAAGCTGATCCCTTACCTCCTTTGCGCTTTTCCAAGGATCCTTTAGGATTTAGAAGAGAAAAAGGGAGACATAAAAGATTAACAAGACAATCCAAAAGTCACAGATCTTCACTTTAAGCGCCAGCGGAGTGTATATAACTCTGAACACCAAAGTGAGGATTGTTCAAGCTATTGTATTCCCCATCACCATGAATTGTGAAGAAAGGGGATAATAAGAAAATCAACTCATTTGAGATGTGATACTGGAGAAAAGGGCTGAGAATACCATGGATAGCGAAAAAGACAAACAAATGGGTCCTTGAAGAGATCAAGCCTGAATTCTCCCTGGAAGCCAAGATGATCAAATTGAGGCTGTCGTACTTTGGCGACATTGCAGGAAGTCATGAATCACTGGAAAATACAGTAACGCTAGGAAAGGTAACAAGAGTGTAAGGATTTTGTTGTTGGACCAGAACCAGGACTCCAAGAAGGAAGGGTTTTCCCTACCCAACCACAGAAACTTTCTGACCTTGGACAAGTCACACTCTCTTGGTCTTGGAGGAAGACAAGGGCAAACCTCCTCTGAACACATCTGGCCAAAATATAAGTCCTAGGAAAGGGCTGTCATAAGTTAGAGTTGACTAGAAGGCACAGAACAGTTACGATTGCACATGGAATGCCCCCCGCCTGTTGCACAATGAAAATGGAAAACACGATGCGAGTTGTACCATCAACTACACAAGAGTGCAATCCAGTCCATAGGCAGCACAATGTGGCATAATCATTGGCATAAATGTATGCTACTGCTGTTTTATGAATGAGTCTCAGTCTATGAATGCCTGGCAAACATGCCATGGCCAGAAAGGAACAGCCAAATTCAATTTTGTTTAAGTTCCTGCCAGTGACTTGAGTAGCTTAAATACGCTGAAAATCCCATCTGATCTTAGAAGTTATGCAGGGTCAAATCTGGTTAGTACTTGGAAGGGGGACCGCAAAAGAATCCCAGATGGCTGTAGCCTATATTTCAGAGGAAGGAGCTGGCAAAACCACTTCCGAGTATTCCATGTCTAAGAAAACGCTATGAAATCCATGGGTTCGGCATAAATTGACTGGCAACAAGTTGATCACACGGGAGGCAAAGTGCCCAAATCCCATGCAGAAACTGGATTTAAATTCTGAGAATATCCCACAAAAGTGGGATCGTTTTCAGACACATCGGGAGCACTGAGCGTTAATCCGACATTTGAGCATTAATCCGACAATTCCCGAAAGTAAAAAGTGTCTGATTTTTTCCACTTTCTGTGCAAGTTAATGTCGGATTAATGCTCAATGCCCTCGATGGATCTGAAAACGATCCTACCTTTACGGAATTTGTCCACTTTCTGTGCGGGTTAGTTTTGGATTGATGCTCAATTTTGTGGATTTAAATCCCGTTTCTGTATGGGATTTGGCCAATTCCCTCCCGTGTGATAAACTCCATACTCCGACGCCACCAGTGACCCGAGTATGAACCATCCCTGGGCTTCTACAATTTTGGACCAGAAGAGGGCACTCCATTTCTAGCATCTCAAAACTCTGCAAAAAGCCACGCAGACAGAGTTTGGGATAATACCATTTTTGGGTTTTTTTAAAAATCACTTTGTACAAGCTTTTCATTCAGGACATCAACTGCAAACAAGGTGTTACACTTGGTTAGATCACTGAGTTTCCCAAGAATGGTTTTAGCCAGAAGGGCAATACCTAACTAGCAATAATTGATATTTGTAGAATTGTTCCAGAGATCCAGATGCAGGATGCCCATCCAACTGCATGCAACTCTGTGGCTGTCCCTGTGCCTAGAAAGTTACTTTTTCCTATTATCCCATTCCTGTTACTCATTCTGGCACTGACCAAATAAAGCATTATCATGCATTCCCTATAAAAAAAATATTTGCACTGCTTATCTGTTATCTTTTTGTGCAGAAAAACGTAAGGAATAATAGGGGAATGGCATCAACATTTGGAAAATCCTTGTCAAAATAAAAGTGCTTAACTACAGCCTTAAAAGGGACTTTAATCAGCAACCAAAAAACAGTACTCAGACTAGAGAAGCGATTCCATTTGCACCCGTTACATTACTTTTCTAACATAACTTTATTACAATTCCAAACTTCTGAACTGTTCTTTTAATTACTTGGCGTGCATCCACACTGCACTGTTATAGTAGTTTGATACCCCACTAGTTCTCACGTCTCCATCTTATAGGATGCTGGAATTTGTAGTTCAGAGATGGGCTTAGATTCTCTGCAAGAGAACACTAGTCCATCGCCCACACTTCAGCACTAGAGCTCTCTATCAAAGAACTCTTAAAGTGTCTCAAGAGGCTACAAATCCCAAGATTCCAAAGGAGGAAACCCTGGTATGAAATCCCAAGAGTTTGTCCATGTTGCACACATAGAAGTTCAATGCCACTTCCACAGCTCCATCCTATGAAATGCTGAGATTCATAGTTTTGCGAGGTACTTAGAATTTTCTGCTCAAGAGCCCTACTTGCTGTAGTTCAAGGGGCTGCATGACAAAACGCACCAAATTACACCAAATGCACCAAATTACAAACCCGACAATTCTGGACAGTGGAACCACGGCCATTAAAGTGGTATCAAACTGCTATAACTGTGCCGTACGGATGTATTTCCAGTATCTTCTTTGCAGAGAAATTACGCGTTGTACAATAAAGAAGTAGAGGAAGAGAAGCAGGGCATATACTATTAGATATCAAGCTCAGCACTCCAAATGTCTAGACCTTTCCAAGATGTCAGGAAGCCCAGAAAATTATGTGTTCACATTTTAAACCAAAAAAACCACCCCACATTCTCTGAACCTTAAAAGCTAAAAGCAGTGTGTAGTTGTACACTTACATGCACTGCCATTATATCTTTGCAGCAATCCTGTGAAAAAGCAATAGGAGGCTGAGAGAGAGTAGCCAGACCAAGGTCACACTGGGTCTAGCTCCATTAGAATTGCCTTTATTTATTTATTTTTTAGGAATGTATATTCCGATCGTGGTAAATATTTCTAGTTTTTAGAAAAGGAACTGAGACATTATAATACTAAGTCTTAACACACACAAACACACTTATTCATATGTTTTTCTCCTGCAAAGATTACTAAAGAGTCTAAAAATAAGTATTTTTTTTAGCATAGAAGTCTGGAAATATAATCGAGTTATGTTTGAAAATGAGTATTTTTTGATAGCCACTATCTGCTTTTTTTCAGTACGTTTGACATTTCTACTAGGTTGGATGGCAGAGGCACAGTAGTTTTATTGTTCCAAGAAGGAATCTGGTATTTCTTTTTTAAAAAAGAAGTATTCAGATGGCCAAGCAGTCCACCAGTCTTACATTGTAAAGCATAACCCAGTTGCACAAACCAGAGATTTCAAAAGGGATCTTTTTTTGGACTACACCTTTACATCCCAGAAATTCCCAGTGGGAAGATTCCTAGGCATCTTGGCAGATTTTGAGAACTGTAATCCAAAAATACCTTTTTTCCAACCTCTGCCATGAACGCTATTTGTGGTTTAACTTTCGGAGAATCTGTTGAATCCTCTCCGCTGCTTGCATCAGGACCCCCATCTGGCTAAAAAAAGCTTCCCAGTATAAAATGTTAGTCTAGCACTGGTTGAAACCAGAGTGGGTTGGTTTAAAGTTTCAACCAAGTTGGTTTGAAGTGATTTAAGCCAAATGACTTTTAACAACAGCAACAATCTTGGATTTTTATTAATTTTTTTTAAAAAAGTTTGTTATTATTATTACAGGCGGACTTCCCATTCGCGGTTTTGGGTTTCTGCAGACGGCAAGCCCAGAGGGACAAAATGGTGCGCGCACCCGCAGCGCAAACGTAGAGCCACACGCAGGAGCGCACCGCCATTATAGTCAATAGGGCCTGAATATGTGCGCTTTTTCTATTTCGCAAAAGGAGGGTCTGGAACAGACGCGAACAGAGAGGGACGACTGTATTTGCCAACACTCTTACTGGAAACCAGCAACTCCTGCTGAGATGCCCTCTTCTACGAAACCATTAAATGTACAGGAGTCTTCTCCTGTCTTTACTCTATTAACCCTAGCCCTAACCCTACACCTTTCTGTCTCATGATTTTCTTGGCAAGATTTTTCCAAGGAGATTGCCGCCCTTGTTCCCCTCTTAGGTTGAGAGAGTGTGATCTGCCCAGGGGGTTTCTGCAGCCAAGCAGGGGTTCGAATCCTGGTCTCTGAAGTCCTAGACCAACATTCAAACCCCTACACCACTCTGACTCTCGTCCGTCCAAATGCAAGACCTAAATGACAAGGTTTGCCCAATGATGATCTGCAGAAGTCAACTTCAATGCCCTGGCCCTGTGCAAACTATGTCAGATGCTGCCAGCCAAGGCATCACAACAAACCATGGTTTGGCTTGTCAAACCATGGTTTGTTTGACAATAATTTTTATTGGTGCATTAACAAAACACTTGTTTAACAATTAATAAATATAGCAAACCTAAACAAAACAAAATAAACACAAATGTAAGCAAAACCTTAAAAGCCCCTACAATACTACAACCCCACCCACCCACCACCTCTTACCAGGATATTATACTAAACATATAATTTATATAAACATGAAATTATTGTGGTTCCAAGTTGTATAAATTGTAGTTGAATGAATCTATCATCTTATCACTCCTCTAAATATCACATCCTACAAAGGAAACAATTTTAAATCAAGAATTCATTTAGATCATTGCCTTTAACAAAATTGGTCAGTTTTGCAAGTTCCGTCATAGCCGTGACATCACAACAAACCATGGCTTGGCTTGTCAAACCATGGTTTGGCATAATATCTAAACCAGACTCACTAAGCAATTTAGGACACACAAAAGAGCAGGGCCAAGTCTTCCACTCGCCTCAAGCGAGATCCTGGTAAGAGTTAACCCGAAAGAGAGATCAGCCAAAGCTGTCTCCAAACAGTGCACACATTACATCAGCCTGAAAAGCAGACAAGAGACAATGGCCATTTATTCAGGTCTTTTCTGTTCCAAAGGAGCCTTTGGGATTTCTCATTTTATCATGAAGGGATTGAGAGACGCCGTCAATCGCCAGGGGCCTCCTGGTTTTTCAGATAGGTTTACAGCAATGTTCCAAAACACATGACGGTCTACATGTACTTTTCAAGCCAGATCTGTTTTTTCGGATAGGTTTACAGGAATGTTCCAAAACACATGACAGTCTACATGTACTTCTCAAGCCAGACCTGGAGCGATGAGGGAAGGGGCTGACCAACAGCATTCAAGTTTTCTTCAAATACTATGTCTTCCTCAATGGAAAGCAAAAGAAACCTAGTGGTAGCAGACCCAGAGGTCCAGATCGTGCACCAAACCCATCTGCCATGGCGAAGCGCAACCCTTAGAACCCATGTATCTGAGATGCTTTTGAAGGCAGAACATCCTCCATCTTTTTCAGGATTGGGTCCAGAAAAGAGACCAAATTTGAGGCTGGGGGATTCTGGTCCCAAAATAGGATCCCCCCCCCCAAAAAAAACCCTCTTCTGGTCTCTACACTTGGAGCTGAAGGACCTCAAGATGTTAGCGCTGGTAACCCCAAGGCTGGACTTTTGCAATGTACTATGCTTTGGGCTACCTTTATACCAAGTTCAAAAACTTCAATTAGTTCAAAATACAGCAAAATACTGGTTATCTGGATACTCAGGAGTGATCATATCACACCAATATTAAAATCACTGGCTGCCAATTACTTTCTGGGCAAGGTACAAAGTGCAGGTTATAACGGTGCATGAAGATTTGTATGTAAGACACTCCACAGAATTCAGGAACAATCATTCTTGCACATTCATTCCTATCTTCTTGTTGTGTGCCTTCCAGTCGTTTCCAGCTTATGGTGACCGTAAGGTTTTCTTGGCAAGATTTATTCAGAGGAGGATGGCCACTGCCTTCCCTGAGGCTGAGAGAGTGTGACTTGCCCCAGGTGGTTTCATGCTCCGGTGGGGATGTGAAGCCTGGTCTCTAGAGTCATAGTCCAACATTTAAACCGCTACGCCATGGTGTCTCACCACGCAAATCCAAGATTTCTGCACCTGGTGGGTGCTGCCATATTCATGCCAACAAAATATAGCGAGGAAGACTTCATATTAGTATTGTTAGCAAACAGCCAAACTGTGCTATTAGACTGGCGTCGCAACTATTAATTACTCAACTAATTAATATTACGAAGCAATGGGTACTTGCTTTCCAGATAAATCTTTCTGGATTTTTTTTAAAAATTAGAATTTTTAGATATTGTTTTTCTCCCCGTTTCCTCGATTCCAACTGCAGGAGCACAGGAGAGAGTTATAAATGTCGGTGCACATTTGCTTGGAAAAATTATTAATACCTGCCCCAGCTAGAAACTGGCATGGGTTTGCCGCAGACGGAGAAGGATGGCATGAGTTGCCCCTTAGTCACCCGGCGGTGACGAAAAGCAGGGCTGGTCTGTGTCGCAACTTGTCCAATAAATCTTTTCAAAGCGAAGAGGGTTTCAGCCTTTCAAAGCCCCGAGGCTGTCTTTCGACCAGACGCCCCTTTTC